GGATCGGAACGAGAGAGTCGATGGGGCTAAATGGAACGGGATGAAAACGGTGCGCGGCGGCTTCGCCGCTGCAATCGTCGCTGTCGCTCGTCGTCTTCGTCGTCGACGACGACGACGGCGTTCTCGACGCATGCACAGCCGCCCCGTAAAATCCGTGCGGATTAGCGGTCCACTAATATATCCCGCGGGCGTAAAAACGCGCGCGACGAGGCAGTTGAGATATTCGTTCCCGTCGTCGTCTCCCCTCTCGCGCTCGCAGGGGACGGGCCCGGTTTGTCTTTGGCATAAAATAACTTGAAGCGCGGGGAAAAGTAATAAATTTGTGAGTTACAACCTGTGTCTCTCCCTCTAGTTACCATCCCTCTTCCCTCCTCACTCGACATCCTAACTCTCGCTTTTCTTTATTCCGTCCGCTCGGCCGTACGTTGCGGTTCCTTTCTCCCCTTGTCATCTATACGTTTTCATGGACCGAATTTCGGCTTCTTCCCTTCTGTGTGAAAACACGTGCGAACCGACGCAACGCGACACTTGGAAAGAATCCGAGGCGCCTCGCGCCTCTCTATTTTTCTTTCAGCCTCGAAAATGACAAAATTAAGAGAACTCTACCTTTTTTTATATGAATAAAGCTACTTTACCCTTCTCGTTATGTCAAGTTCGTTTTACATTCATTTATGTATATTCATCAATGAAGCGAAATTGTATTTATATTCATATTATGCCTCGCATATTTTTGACAGATGTCCGACGTATGAAACAGTCTCCGCTTGCGTTGCGTCGGCGGGAAGAAAGGTCCATATTGTTTCGACGTTTTCAGGTCGAGGGATCAATATATGATCTCTCTCTCTTCGAGAAACGAAATGCTCGAGCGCGTGAACGGGATCGGGGGTGTCGAACGTGTTTGACAGGGCGGGGTGAAGAGTGTCGAGGCCACATTCCGCCCTCTCGGGATCCTCTCTCGTATCCGCGGTAACTCCGCCACGAATCCATGGTGGCCGCCGGCGGACAAGTACACAGCCGTCAAACGATACGACATCTTAAGCCTCCGAGAACTCCGCAGGGGATCTCGTGGGAACGTGCGCGCTAGACACGAGGAAAGTGTATCCATGAACAACACCCTGGAAAATCATTGCGCCACGTCTCGCACGCTGTTTATTTATTATTGTCACTCGCGTAAAAATATTCGCAACTTCTACTCGCACTTGTCACATCGTATTCGAGTTCTATCCTCGATGTTCGATTATTCAAAAAATCAATTAAATTTGATTATTCGATAGCTATAGAAATTTTAGAAATTTTTTGTTAAACAATTCAATTTAATACAAAAGCTGCGCATTCAAATTATCGCGACATATTTTAAAATACAGAGTATTTGCACGATTAATTATTGTGGTAAAAAGACGTGCTTTCGAAGAGACGAAGTCTAATAAAAATTCGATAGGGTCGTCAAAGATACAAAACCTTATACATATGCATCTTGCGACATATTGAAGCGTGAGAAATGACAGTCTATAAATTTTACTTAGCGAGTAGGTCGCTCGAGTAGTATTAGTCAGATCACGATGTAGATTATGTGGTTAACTCTAATCTTGAAATAATATACAAGCAGCGGTGTGTAGGAGATTCTGTCGGTATACATTATCTTTATCGAAACGAGGAAGGCGAACGTATCCCTCAGTTAACATTTAAATACCTTCACAGTAAACAGATGAAAATCCTCAAACTCTCGGAAATCGCGTGTTTTATGTAACTAAGAAAATCCGAGAAAAAGCAAAATATAAAAGATAATACAAATATTTTAATTTATGTAATTTACGTTGCCACGTCTATTTATTTTTCGAAAATTATAGTATAATACTTAAATGTTAGCCGTAATCTTTAAATCGTTTAGAAATCATTATTTTCTTACTTCTCAAGACGGCATCTACGATGTGGCGATAATGTTTTAACAACGTTTGTCTTTCTTTGGGCAGCAAACAGGTTGCTCACATTGCCCCATTGACAAATTCTTTTGAACACGTGGTTATTCCAGTATGCCCATTCACAGGAAAACGCTTTTCATAGGAACACGTGTTTTGTGAATCACATGTGACTATCTAGTAATCGATCTGTCTAATGAAATCTACACGCCAATATCAAAAGCATTCTTGGATCGTTTTCCGGATAAATTCAGTCCTGTTGAGCTGTGCATAAATTCGGAAATAAATTTCAAGAGACACTAGCATTTCCGCGATGCACAGCACAGCTATATACTTCGTCTCGTTCGAAATTGCACCGCATTTTGCGTCTTGCATAATCCCGTTGTCGACACGGCTCGGCTCATCCGCTCGCGCATTTCGTCGGCCGGCGAATTAATCACGAATTCCGGCGGACGAGTCGCAATTTCGCGATTCGCATTCGCGTATTTATACGATACTCATGTCATACTCATGCGAGAAAACATGTTTGGTAAAGGCGGAGTTGAAATCGGTATAATTTGCAATGAGCTTTAAACACAAACCGCTTATGTGTGAAACGCAAAAAAAGAAAAAATAAATTATATAGAAAAAATGTTAAGACTCGTTTTAACAAGTTGTATCTCAAGTTGTATTATTAAGAGTTGTGGATTTAAACCAGTTTCTAAATATACCTCAAACATACCTTACGCTAACCATTACGAATAAGATCATTTCCGCAGCAGTTACCATCGAGATCCGAACCTACCGAAATTATATCGGTCTCAATCTCCGCTACCAAAGCGATAAATAACAGTACTGATTGTATAAACATATGATGCAGCAGTAGCGAACGCGTGACAAGTATCCGCACGCATGATCGCGCGACGATGTCCAAAGCGAAATTGATTTATACGACGCGAAGTTGCGATATTCGTCAATATCAATATTCCACGGCGATTTTCACCACGTTCCCCCCCCCCCCCCCCCCCGTAGATATTTCTCTACGAATTTATAGTCGAGCTATAAATACAGAATGCCCCCGAGAGAAATCTGTCGGTCTTTGCAGGAAACACGGTATTCGCACTCGATTTTTAATATAAAAAGTTATGTCAACGTAGTCGCGTGAATTCAGAACATAAATCGTAAAGCAGTTGCTATTACCAAATATTAAAGTTTTTCTTTGGTAAATTGGCATTAACACTTTTACGATGTCACATCTTTGGACGCATGCGTTTCCACGAGAATTTCAACGATAACTTCCGCAAGAAGAATTTTATTCTTATTTATTCCGTCTGGAATTATATTATTAAATGTTTAATAATATTAATCATATAAAATATATATTTTTTATTTATAGATATTTATTTTTCTGAAAATTTTATGTTGTAATCGGATTGTATATTTTATAAAGAGTTGCCCATTTCTCGACTTTGTATAACTTCCCAGAACTCGAAATTAATCTTGGCAATCAAAATGTTAACACAGAGGTATCAACACTGAAAAAAAAAAATATTTGACACCGTCAACAACTGTTTGGGGCACGTCCGTCAACAGCTTCGACGATTTCCTCAATTACGCCGCGCATTCGTAACTCGCAAACATGTAAATTAGTACTACAGAGAACGCACGTCCGCTAAAATATCGTACACGCCGACAAGTACGTCTTCCGTTGCCAAAAAAATTTTACGCGTGTATTCGTGCGCGTGCACACCGAAACGGTGCCGTGATAAACTGTACTGAGTTGTCTACCGAGATGTCATAACTTCGCTCGAGATAGGCGCGAGTGAAAACTTGACCCAACTTTCTACGAACCATCTCATTTTTATTTATTATTACGTCTTTCTATCTTGATAGCCACTTTTATTATCAATTATAGAACTATTTAATTATTTTGAGATGGAAGAAAACAAACTAGTTCGAAGGAAGATTAATTAAAACTTGTATAATATTTAAAAGAATATAACTTAACTATAAAATATATAATCGTGTTAGAAATCGTTGGTAAATAAGAATGTTAAAGTTTTCCATTGAAAATTATTTTGGTACAAATATTTTTTCGTACATAAAATTATTCAATTACAAGGGTCTCACCTTTTTACACAACAGTCAAAGATAATTAATTTAAAAACTTTAGTTTAAATATACTTAAGTATACTTAACACCACCGAAAATATCGCACAAAAAGTCTCTTTTATTTCGTACGAACACGTGTGCCCCGCGCGCGGTATCGAGGTAGAATGACACACGCGTCTTCGTGGTTCGTAGCAGGCTCCGCGGCACTAAATCAGCCCGAGTTATGCGCCGACTAATTGTGAACTATGTCCCTCCTCTTTGCCGCTCCCGTGGAAACCAAATATAACTAAACGGAGCGAAACTAAACGACCGAGCCGATTAACTTCTTAGCCCGCCCCGCATGGCTTCTTCGCACGCACACACGGACACGCGGACACGTACGTAAGGAGCACACATCGACGACGAAAGGAGCGTGGAAAGGAGCAGTGGAGAATCCGTCTTTGTCTTTTTATCGCGTCTACTTCGTCGGTAGATAAATAGTCGTTGATTGAGGGGCAGCTCGCCGCAGGGAGACATAACTTTTATTTGGGTGGGCGAGATGACATGCGATTATTAACTGACCCATTCATGCGACATGTGCATTGCTATTATGAGAAATTGCAATCTAAAATTTCTAAAACGGTTGTGTTTCGTTGATAAACATAATTAAAAGGTTTCTTGAGAGTAAAATTAATTTTTTACCTATTTGGCATAAAAGACAGTGTTTTTTTACTGGATTATTCGATATTGCATTGCAACTAACAGTGGTATTAACGATAAAAATGTATGCAACATTAATTGCCCAATCATTATTAACTTATTGTTAGCTATTTGTCTTGATTAAATCTGAAATGGCAGTATATCATTCGTTATGTCGCGATATCGTGCACGAATGACTTAGCGGAACTTAGCGAAAAGGAACCCTCCCATTAACGTGCGCGGCTGCAGCCAAGAATAAATAAGGATTACTGTGCGCCTAGACGACGTTGCAAGAGGGTGTGATGTGTTTTGCAGTCTGGGCACAGAGTGACTTCGGGGACGAAACCAACGGGGGTCTCGCGAGGCTCGACGCGGGTCACGGCGCTCACACCCCCGGTGGTAGCAATCCTAGTACACCGGGGGCGACCCCCACGACACCCTCCGGTGGATACTCCACCGGGCAGCCAAGGAACCGTACGAACGCAACTCACAGGCCAGATATTCGAAAAGGTACGTTTCGACCGTGCAAGAATAATATAAAAAATGTAATCTTTCTTCGATTTGTAAGTACATATTAAAATTCCATTCGGTGGAAAATCATAATTTAATTCCTTTGTATTAAAGAGCGAGTGCGCTATCTGCGCGCATAAAAAAATTTAATATCTTTCATATCGGTTATTATTAGCAGATGTCATTATCATTACCAATTATATTAAATCGTGTCAAATTTTATTAATTTAACATGCTTTTCTACAAACAATATAAAATATGTGATAGCTCATATATCCACAAGCACACGTAATTCAAAGTTCGACATTAGATTCAGTAACAGGAGAGGTACGTTATTTGCTCGAATCAAAATTTAGATTCAAATTCAGAGAGGGAGAAGATACCATTCGAACGCCATTTTCTATCGCGTTTACACGGTGTTCTGAAACGAATGCGCGGAATGGTGGATAGCGACGAGTGGGCGGAAAAGGTCGCTTACGTTTGTTTGCACGTTTGTTCGGCACTTAGCTGGAACACTCTCACCCGCGCCCCAAATCCCCGCAAATTGAAATATCTCCCGGAGTCTTATATTCCCGGTTAACAACAAACCTCCGACGCGGATCTCACTTCGTCCGTTCTAATATCGGCGGTAGATAGAGTCGTTGGTTTCCCGCCTCTTTATGCCTCTCGCTAGAGTCCATCGTACTTTTGTGACAAGACGCGGTTACTTGCGTAAATATGAGCGAATTTCACCTCGTTCAATAAAAATCAAACACATAAAAAAAACGGAATTTCTAAAGGCATCCGATTATCCAAAATTTCAAATAGATCAATAAATATTACTTTATAATATTTTACCTAGATATACATGCGAGAAAACAATTCAAAATACCAATTTAATACCAATTTAATAAATAATTATATTTATATTTCATCTCAAATTAAAGTAATGGATCCATATGAATATTGTATTAGATATGCATAAAAGAGATGCAAATAAATGTACGTGAATGTATCAAGACGTTTAAAAAAATATGACAGACAAATATAACATTTTATAGATTCATTATAAGTTAACACTGTTCAATTCTGGAATATGTAAGTTCAAACGCGCGAATGTTATACTTATACTATACTATAATTTCGATATTTTTTAAATCAGGATTTTCAAGTTTAATTAAGCTCCAGAATATATAGTTATGAAACATTATATAAGGAAGATTATTCCTTATAGTTTTTACTAATTTATCACTCACCTACACGATGCGCAGGAGTAGAGTTGTAACTGCATCTCGTAACACGCAACACTTACTCGCGAGACACGGTTAATTACGATCGCGCGCGACACTCCTGACATTAATCACACGTAACGCGCACATTACGTTACACTGCGACGGGAGGATAATACGAAAAAAGTATTATCGCACGAAGCTACAATCCGTTCAACACTCACGCTGTCTTGTAAATAAGCGCGACGGACGAATTTTCAACGGCGGAGGGTTTTAACAAATGAGCAATATGTACAAACGGCGAATTTATGCTACGCACAGTTGGTCAAATAATTAATCCCGTATTAAAATATGAAAGTAATTACGATTCACTAATTCGCGTCGCGACACCAGTCGACTCGGAGTCGACCCGTTCCATACTCACACCGTTTCATTAACGATAAAAAATTTTGTAAATGACCCTCTAGCATGATTCAATTTACAAAACTGAGTTAATAGTTTATTAAGATACGACGGATCAAAAATATATAATCGAAATTCAATATTAATTACACAAGCGCGTATAATACATCGCGAGATAGTATATTCAACTATATATTAATAAGCGTTATATTAAAAAGAATTATTGCCCGCAAACATTACGACGAAACAATTGCTTATAACTCCTATCTATTTTGCTCTGGTTTCTATTTTAATGAATAAAAGGCGAAATATGTGCTTCGATAAGTAACTATCGTTTTACGTTTACAAGGTATTAATCGCGAGATTGAAACCGTGTACGCTAATAAACGTATTCCTATAACGATAAATAATGATCACGTTTAGCGTCTTTCAGTATACTCGTCGCGTTCCCATCTCCGAAAGTTATCACACAGCATACGGATTTCTGGTATCAGTGTGCTCGACGCGAACTGACCGAACGTTATGATACTTAATTTCACGCGCATTTACTACGGGGCGAAAGATGTTCCCCCGCGCGTAATTAACTCGCGTTCCGCGAAATCAAAACTCGAAATCCGCTATTACGCAGTGACGCAATACTTCGACGCCGTTTACGAACACGCGTCGCCAAACGCGTTGATCACGATTGTCCTACAAATTTACATACGCATCGAGACGATTACCCATTGATTCCGGATACTCCGGACACTCGTTCGCGCGCAAAACTTCCTCTCGCAGGCAAAATGGAGCAAATGAGAAGTGCGGAGCAGGCGCGACACGACTTCGAACTCGCGCGGATATAACGCGACTGCGGTGTATACGGAAGATTTGGAAAGATCGCGGGGAAGCGGGACGAGAACGTCCCTTTCAGAAAAGCCGAGCGAAATAATCAGAAATAATAACCGCCGTCCATCAAAAGCACAGCACTCCGAGCCGTTTATTTATACGCGAGGTTTATTTTCGACAGATAAAAAGATGCGATCGTGCAAACTCACTTGCGTCTCGCATGTCGTCGAACGAGAACACCTGAAATCCGCCATATGCGATGCTCCGAAGAGGAGGGCAAATTGCGTCGCGGCCGCCTTCGGACTCGGAACGTCGCAAGACGCGTTAATCGCGACTACCTGCACCATCAGAACACTCGAGACGATCGTCCGCGCTCGATTCGACACTACCGACACTCGTTCGCACGCGAGATTCACATCCGGCGGATAAAAAGACGCGAAAAGCACTTAGCGGAGCCGTGCCGCTACGCGATCGGAATGAACATAGCCGTTAAATATCGGGAGGAGAGGGGAGGGGAGATGCTTCGTCAACCGTTCACGCTGCGAGCGGCGCGCCGCACTTCACCCCGCTCGATTCTTGAATTCATTCGCGAGAGAAACGTACTTATTAAACGCAAATTTTGTTCTTACAGAAACGTTGCAAGTTGATTGATTAAAAGTCACGCGATAGCCAACCGACTTGCAACTTTTCTGTAAGAGCAGAATTATCGCATACGTTTCTCTTGGGGAATAAATTCAAGAGTATGGTTTCCATACGCGAAAACGAGTAAACTCGTTTCCAAAGAATGAGTTATATATGTATACTGGGTCGAAATAGCGCTTTTTAATACATTCAAAACGGATTAACTCATTTTTTTGCATAATGTTAAAACACTCCGCGTATGAATTTCGCGTTATAATCGCGCGAGAGCGGCATATCGACTCGCTGTTATTAGCCACGAATCACACGTTTCGCGTTTCTGTCCGTCGCACTCATCGCCGGGGCGAAAAACAGTTTCCGTTTACCTATTATTTCGTACTTTTCGTAGGGAGAAATTGAACGCGGAGCTTAAAAAGCGTCACTCGCGAGCCGTCGGTCGGCCGTCGCTGTATTGTATACTGCCGTAATTGCTCGCCGAGCCCGCCGAGATTGTTTACGTTTTTTAGGCTCGGGCCGCTCGGCTTTCTATTTCCTGGAAGACGGAGCACGCTGCGTCGGCTGCACTCTTCCCCCATTCCCCCACTCTTTCCAAAAATTTTTCCTATTGTCATAGACGCGAAAACCGAACGAAGACGCGGACGACGCGGGGACGCGGACGACGCGGTCAGTATTCATGCGAATTCGAGACTGCGTGTGGCCTGCTCTGCGTTTCACGTATTATCTAAACTATCGATCGTGAATCTTGCGTGTGAACGAGTGTCGGAATCTAGCGACGGGCGATCTTTTCGGTACATGTGTGTGGAAATCCGTACGATCGACTATTAACATGTTTCTCAATGATCGTAAGTGGCGTTAAATTAATTGATTTATCGCATAGAATACGACGGATTTAACAAGTTGTCTCATTTAACCCAAGCGAATTGGCAAATGTATGTCTCTTTGCTCGCCGAGAGTGCGAGAACCTCGTATCGAAGTAATGTAAATGTATCTATCTATCGTCGTTGTGCGTATACGGATTTTGAAAATTTCCGTTTCACACGCAGATAAATTTGCGAGTCGCGAAGATTGCTCTCTTGATAGGCTCTCCCCGGGGTCGTTCCGAGACAATATACACTTATTTTTCCGTACGATTGACGTGTTTCTCCGCGTTCGCAAGTGGCGTCGAACTACGTCGAATTTAATTGATTTGTCTGGTTAGTTGATTGATCTGGTTATTCGTATATTATTCTATTATATTTTCAACACAAAGATGCTAGATAAATTATATTTAAATTAATAACAATTTCAGAATATAATACTAATTTAAGATATAATCAAATCTAAGCATTGTTGAATAAATAATTATTGCCCGTAAATATTAAATAAAATAATTTCTGATTCCTATCTGCTATACTTCGATGCTTGCTTTAAAACTTTAAACGAATAAATTATGCGAGATACGTGTTTCGATAAATAATAATTGCTTACGTTTAACGATTTGTTAACCGTGGGATATCGGATATGATTAAATAAAAAATCGTAATTTTAATAAATCAAAGACATCAAGAAATATGGCAATTTACTTTGTATTAAAATCACATAATTTTGCTTTTCGTCTAATCTAAATTAATTTCTATTTTTCGATTACAACGAACTTTATTTCTTTCTTCAAAAATTAGACTTAACGTTAAGTTTAATCATTCTTTCTTAGTTAAAATTAAATTATTCAAGTTTTTATCTAAAAAATGATTAAATAATTTATAATTTATAAAAATTGAAATATGTCATTAATAATCGAATTAATAATCTGTTAATTGTTACATGCATATAGTAACAATGTATAAGAAACTAAGAGATAAACTCAACTAAGCAGTAAAAATCAATATAACCTGAACTGTGAAAATTAATAACAGATAACAAATTAATACGTAGTTATGGGCCGGAGTGCACAAACTTTACGCAAAATCAGCAGCAAACTAATAATTTACAATTTAAAAATTATTGTAACTTTGACTTATTTTTATGTTAATATATTTTATTCTAATTAATCTCCAGACTACGCTATTCAAATTTGTACGGTATTTGCTTTAGGGATCTCTTTATCATTTCTAAATGTATATCAGTTAATTACCTGAAAACGAAGATTATACTGTCAATATTTCTTTGATAATTTTCCGCGAAATTTAGAAACAATTTATGAGTCCTACATTTGAAACGCTATTGACGGTCTCGTCGAAGATATGATACCTTAACACTTTTCAGGTGTACGAACACCACCAGAAGTGAAACACGAATTGGGTGCTGGTGGTGTCGTTTCTCCTGGAGTGGTCGGAGTCAACGATACCGACGACAAGGATGGTAAGAAGAACAAGAGGCAAAGGCGGCAAAGGACGCACTTTACGCAGCATCAGCTTCAGAATCTGGAGATGACGTTTATGAGGAATCGGTATCCAGACATGTCAACCAGAGAAGAGATAGCTTGCTGTACGAATCTTACGGAAGCTCGAGTCAGGGTAAGAGAATTGATAACATTACCACTTTACATTGAAGTTTAAATTTCATCGCGCGTTAGAATCATTATAAATAAGTATCTAATTATTCGAGATGCATTTGTATGAGAAATGCATATCGAATAATAAAACAACGATTCGAATAGTGACTAAATGAAAACTTTTGCTTATTATAATTAAGCTTCAAAAATTTTAGATTTATTTAATAACTAGCTCATTTTAATAATTTAAGTTATTTAATAAAATAATAAAAATGATTATAGATATAATTAATAAATCGATAGAAAATAATAGAAATAATTCAGATTTAATTTCGTTTCAATAATTTGTGTAATCAATTCTAATTCAATCGATCGACTCGCGCGTGTGCCCACGAAACATTAACGACTCGAGAATTGTTTTCTTAAGAATCCGCCTCGGAGAAGCGAAAAATATAACAGCAACATTGAAGCAACGCCTAAAAATTTGAGCTCGCGATGAATGAAGCAGTAACAGACGCTCACAATGGGTGCATTGAAGCATCGAGATATCGATTACAAAGGCAACAATCTGCTGACCACGGATGATAATCTCTTGCATTAGTCAAGCATACGGTTTTTACAAAATAAAGACGAAAATAATCAGATGTTTTAGACGTTAGTAAACGTTAATTAGTCAATGTTTCTATTTAAAACATTTTGCTAACAGTTTTTATACTTATTCCGTATATAAACCTGTATATTGAGAAAATATAATCAAACTATGAGATAAATATAAACTTGAAATTAATATCATACTATTATACACGTGGTAGCACTACTGAAGAAGAATCATGCTTACACATAATAAAATCTATGTATAACTAAGCTAAGAATTCTAAACTCTAGAAATTTATAATAAGAATTTCGTATGCAATCGCGTTTTGTCTGATTCAAAACGATCACATTTTACCGCAACAACCCCAAACACGACAAGCGATTATGATATTTCTCCTCTGGTACTTTTCTAAAATTGTAAAAAAAGACGATGAAATGACGTCGAAGAAACTATAGACCGTTAGAAAGTTCGCAAATCCGTAAGCACTGTATAAATCCTCCGCGACTTGATTCGCGAACAAACGACGGATCGCGCGCAGTCCAAGTCCGAGTGACTTCGAAACGGATCAAGCGAGCGGCCAGACATGCTCTTTGAAATCCCGGCGGCCTGCTTGCGTTTCATCGGGACGATCCGGCGAGTGGTCGGCATCGCGAGACGGCAAAACCGTGGAAGAAGTGTGCGTGAAAAAGGCACAGCACAGAGGGGGAGGACACGGAGCGGGGGGGGGGGGGGGGAAGAGAGTGGGCAGATAGGAGGTCACATGGGGAAAGAGGTGAGAGTGCCGCGCGCAAGCCGCAGGGGAGGCTTTGCGCCAGTAAGCCCTGGTGGATTTATAGAACCACATATAGCGTGGTACGGTGTTCCCGCCACGGTGCTATACGCCATGTACCAAAACGCTGCAGATCCCCCGGCCGTCGCTCGTTCGCAAACTGTAACGCCATTATGGAGGCATTCTTCATTTTAAACCTGCCTTGGCGCGCGTTTACTTCAAGTGCGAAAGACATCCCTCTACGCGACCCTCATTAGCTCAGAGTTTAATTCGTATTCTGTTTGTCGTAACGAAAAATAATAGAACTGTACTCCAAAAGAAGCCCACACGTATTCAAGTTACATTATAGGAGCTTCCGCAGTAAAACGGAGGCTAAGATTTTTTATAAAATCCTAGCGAATTGTTTACAAATTGAAGAAATCTTGAAATTTTATATTCAAGTAGTATTTTACGAATTTTATCGCGCATTAACTTTAAAATTCGTTTCCTCAGCGTAACATAACGTCATAGAAATCCCTGGTGCCGGATAAAAGATCCGAAAACGTCATATTGAAAAGAAGAACGGAGAGAAAGGCACCGAAGAGTCGACGACGAGAGGAACTGGACGAGAGAGGCAGAGTGGAGAGAGAGAGAGAGAGAGAGAGAGAGAGAGAAGAGAAACAACGAGAAAGAGAGGTCGAGCGCGAAGCCGGGTACAGTTATCTGCAAAGAGGCAGGCGTATGTTTCGGTCGGTGGCAGCAGAGCGCGGCTGTCCGAGATAATCCGCCGGTGATTAAGACCATAAATCCATCGGCGGATTAGTATGGTTGCACCGCACACCTCGCGGCGGCGCTCTGGCTGGTGCACGAGAGTCGCTCTGTGCTCCAGCCTCCAGTGGCAGTGCGCTGCCTCTGTCTTTCTTTCTCTATTCTCTAGGTCTCTCCTTCTCACTCGCTCTCTTTCTGTTCTCTATCCAATTCCCACCCCCCCCTCTCTCACTCTCTCTCTCTCGCGCTTACTCTGCCGCACAATCATCCACCCTCCTGGACCCCTGATTGCGGCGCAACCGACACACATCCAGTGTCTGTATATCTCAGCCTGATTCGGAGGGCGAAGGGGTTGCGCGAACGAGAGGGATCGGGAGAAAGGGGAGGGGGAGAGACAGAGAGAATGAGAGCGGGAGAGAGGAGCTTACACACCATGGGAATGGGAAATGGGACGCCGCGGAATATAGGTGGACACTAACCGGTATGAGAGTGAGGATTACCGAGTGTCATCCGTATTCGGCCGGGTTAGCGGCTGTCAGCGGCCAATGCTATCGCTATATATCAATTATTACCTTTAGCCTCGCCGCACAACGCTCGGCTGCATTCCGGTACACACACTCTGTTACACCGCGAATGCATCGCCCGCCCACCCGCCGTATCTCGTTCGCATCACGCGGGCCGATTTGCATCGCGACACATCGTATGCAAACGCGCCGCGCGACCGCGCCTCTCGCACATCTCCGATTCAACCCGCGCTTCCACAGTTACGCGGGTTTAACGTCGAATCCGTGGCAGTTGCTGGTTGCCTGGCTTCACCGTTCTGATGGCATCGCCAGCTCGTAAGTTCTGGTGAACGCGAAAAGTACTGCGTTGTCTTGGGCTTTCGGTGCGAAGCAACGATTAACGGAGAAATAGATAGTAGTAGTGTTCATATGTATAGTGAGCGTATCGTAGCAATAATGCTTGTACAATAAATATAAAATAGCAGTAGCACTCATAACGAGTTTTGCTATTAATGTAGTAATGTTAAAGTTGGTATAACGAATGGATAAAAATGACACTCACATAATGAATGATTTTACAAATAGCTCTTTCATATACCAAGCGATATAGTTTATATGTGTACACATTAGATAAACCAAATTAAATTAAAGTATATTTAATAAAAATTTCGTGATTCAAAATCTCTTTTTCATATATGAAAAATTTAGAATAAAAAGCTAAAATAAATCTAGATTTATATGATATATGATTATTTTAAATTCACAATAAGATTTCACTTTAGATGTGTCACTGTATGTTTAAAGAAAAGACTGGATATAAATACGCTCTGAAAGCGTCGGCTACCTAAGCATCTAGTGCTTATTCGTAGGTGGTAAACATATGTTTAACGTGATATACGATAAATTGACGGTTAGATTCAATTTAACGTTAGCCGTCATAAGTTTTTATCCCGCAAAAGGCTCCCTTCAGCTCCAGCTTCGGCTTTAGAGCGGGTCGAAGCAGAGATACGATCGGCTTTACGGTAATGTCCGAGAGTGGCCGTTTTCAAGTTAATATCACGTTGAACGAGATGAAAAATGGCAAAGGGCGAATTGCGCGTACTCTACAAGCGAATCAGGATTCGACTCGGCGGCAGTTAATCTTCTATCGGGTATTGTATTTTTGGTACAAAGCATTGTAATGCGTTCCGCAATTTTGTCGCAAAACGCTGGAGTTTTTGAATATTTTTTAAAAATTCAGTACTCTGATCGAGTGTAGTAAAATATTTATATCAAGTGAATACTAATCGTAAACAAATCTGGGAAAATAACACAAGTTTGCAAAATAAATTTGTTTTATTATTTTGAACCAGACAAGATATTTTTTATAGATTTTTGAAGATAAAAACAATGCTGCAAGCCATTTCACCAACACATCGTGTTTTCGAGATAATTAAAGTTTAATGCATTAAAAATGACTTTTTTGTGATATTTAAAATTCTTTTGTAAGAACAGTTAACAGTTATCTTGAAATTCTTATCAAAAGTCATGAATATATTGTCTATTCCCTGTAAAATGTTTTTATTTTAGTATCTTACTTTTCAGCCATGGTATTTATGCATTAAACTTTAATTATCTCGAAAACTTGACGTGCTGGTGAAATTTTAACTTATGGCATCGTTTTCAGCATTCAAAAATTCATGAGAAACACCTTGTCTGCTTTAAAATAATGTTTTGTTGTAAAATTGTGTAATTTTAAGTATGTTCATAGTAATATATTAGATATTTATTTTGTTATTTGGTGTGTCAAAATTTTGCGAACCGGAACAATATCTTACGTGCATGCATCAATTTTTCCTGGTAATCTTACGCAGTTGATATTTTTATATCTCGCAAGACCAGGGTCGAAGTCAGGGACTGCACAGATTTTCGGATAATGAATTGAATTTAATCATTCTTCCGGTGCTGGTGGTTTATCGCGATAAGAAATGTTTTCTAGGTTTTAACGGTCAGTGATCTTAGATTCGCAGAAGGTTTATTCGGTTCGAGTAGATATGTACGTCGCAAAATAAAATCGTTACGCTCGTTGTTCACGAACGCTATAGCGAAGTAAAAAGTACGCGATGAGACATAAATTCATTCGAAGGAAAATAGGATAAATGCATTAAGGAATAAAAATATATGTTCGTTAATAAAATATAACGCGGACATCTTTTTTCACACAATAAAATTAACGATTTAAAATTTAGAAATTAATCAATACATAAAAGCTAAGTGAAAATCTAAAGTAATAATGTAAATAAAATATTATTTGCATGAACATTATATGTGTCTCTCCTAAGTTATCATTTACTAATGCATCCGTTGACAATTCGTTCACTTAAATTAACGAAAGAAAACAAGGAGAATGGACTGCGTAATCCTGGCAC